TAAGCCTTTCAATAACCCTATTTGTTTTGTATTTATTATTAATTTTCATAAAGGAGTATATTTGGGGCTTGCAACGTAAGTACGTACAGTATTTAGTAAAATTAAAATTCATTTTGCTAATTTTAATTTTTTTTTATTTTTGTGTAATTATTTATATAAATTTACATTTAAAAAAAATCAATAACTTTTTTCAGGCACGGAATTAACCGATATCTCTTGTTTAAAAAGGAGACAACATTTTCTTTAACGTTTTATGGGTATGAATTGAATTGATAGTGATTTGTGCGCAAATGAAAAAAAATGCGACTTCACGGTTATTACCTGTTCTTATGACTTTACACGATAAAACTACCAGTTTAACATAAAAGAAAGGTAACAGTAGTATTTCATATTATCCCTATTAAAAATCCCGTATTATCTATATTTGATATTGTATAAATAATAAAATTCCGTATTATATTATATTCATATATTAATATCAATATTTATATTAAATTCATAAATAAAATTCCAAACCAAAATATTTTTATCTATATTAACAAATAAACATATATAGGTTATTGGAATATTTTGGAACATTTACAGTATTAACAAAAAAATAAATAGATAAAAGTACAAAAAAAGAAAAGTGACATTTTTTGGAATAACAAATATAGTAATTATTCACGATGATTTTAATAATCAAGAATTAATTGAGAAAATGTAGATACTGAAATACACAAAGTATTCTATGATCTTATGATCTATGATCTTATGACCGTGCAGAGGACTTTAGAGCAATGAAGTAAATAAAAAAGAAATTAAATAAATACCGAAACATGCTATAATTGTACAGATAAAAGTGACCAATAAAAAAAGAAGAGAAATGATAGATAGATAGATAGATAAATAAATAAAAAAATTGAAATAAAGATTGTTTTTCAACAACAAATAGAAATTTAAAATAAGATTGTTTCATCATACATCCTCATGATTTACATAATTTACATTATTTAATAAGATTTTTTTTTACTATAGTAGGTAAAAAATTGAGGTGAACGATTAATTGCTTTTTGGCCGTGTGACAAAATAAATTACAAATGGACAAAAATAGAAATTTAAAAAAACGTGAAAAGTCTGGTGGCTGATACAGTAAAATCAGAAATGAAGATCGGGAAATATGTTAGCATCAAATGGAAATTTCTGTATACTGAAGCAGAGAATTGTCGTCGGACATTCATTAAAAAATAAACAATTCCAATTGAATAAAATAAAATAAATTGAATTTAATATTGTAGTAATATATATATGCATAATTCTTTTTAACAAACTTGCTAGAGAAGCAAAATTTGGGATTTAATAGTTAAAGATTATAAATTAGGACTTGCATCCGATTGGTTAACATCAATCAAATCAAATCAATCAAATCAATCAAGAGAGATTACGGTCAATGCCTTTTAAATTTTATTTTCGATTTTTCGATAGTGCGAAAACCAATCAAAAAAATGTGATTATCAAATGTTCTTGTCCAAATAAACAAGAAAATCCGGAAAGCATACTCCAGCCTATTTGAGAATTAAAAAAAAAACGTTCCCGATAAATCAAACAGTTTACATTTGATATGATCCAATTATATTACAGTATAAAGTTTTTTTTTTAAAAAAACCTGATCAATTCTTACCGTTAATATATAAATTTAGATAACTAAAGTTAAAAAATGGACGAAACTCGAATAATAATTAATAGAATATAGAAATGTCAATAAGTATATATCGATATAGAATGATGATATAGAATGATGTAGTAATTAAAATAATAAAAAGTTATAAAACTATTCGGAAAATGAAATCTAAAAATATAGTATCATGATAAACTTGTAAAACTTGATAATAGTTATACAGTAAATAGCAATTATACGAAAATTACAAATAAACCAATTTAGTATTTTCTTGGACATGAAAGTGAAATTTTTAGATATTTAGTATATGCATTGAGAATTTTAGAAAATATCGGACATACGCGTTCACTACTTCTCCGTATGGGGTTTATTAGTACAAACATGTTCTCTTCTTGTAGAATTGTAGAAAGTCTTGTAGGAAGTCTTGTCTTTTAGGATGTTCTATAACGATTCAAAAGTGTGAAATTTCTTTGATTTTACTATATGCGGTATGCATAAATAATAAAATTACCCACGCATTTATTTATGAATTATATACTTGTATATTAAATTCTGTATATTAAATTCTGTATATTTAATTCTGTATTAATTCGATACTGATTTATACATGATGATGACGAATTCCAACTTCTATTACAAAATTAAATGTATGCAGTTTAACATTATCATTAACTTATAAAGAGGACAGCTGAATTTGTCAATAAATCCCACGGCAATAGTGAAGCAATATTAGAGAACATTGCATAAATAAATCATAATCATGACAAAGATTGTTTAAAATAAAATAAAAAATACAATACGTACAAATCTTGTTTCTTTTGTAATCAACGTTTATGCTGTTATGGCGTCAGAGTTACAGTATATATCACCTATACGCATATACTTACGTATGTAATATTATATTTAATCCTATTTTTGTATTATTTTATAAAACATGTATAGTGTACTCTTCTTGGGAGTAACCATTTTTGGATTTTTTTTTTAACGCGTGGATTATTTTGTGCTGCTGATTTTCCGATGATTCTGTTCCAATTTTTTTTTTTTTTTTTTACCTTTATATATTCGAATCATATTTGATATTGCATAAAGTTTATTTTTGTTTGTTTTGTTACGAGTTTACCACGCAATTGGAACTCTTTACGGAAACTATTCACACTAAAAAAAACTCTTATAAAAAGTGTGTTTTCCCCTCAACTTTTTTAAAAAAAAAATAATTCGTTTTGCTGCATTAAAAAAAAAAAAAGAAGAAAACTATCCGAGTTTAATAAAAAATCAAAAATCATCCTTACTTCCCTCCGCTGGATGATTTACGATTTTTATTACCTGCTTTATCATTTTTCTCGCTCTTCTTAATGCACGGGCTGTGTCTTTTTCGTCCACGTTATCCTTTATTTTAAAAAGCCACATTGATTTTTTTATTTTGATAGTCCGTGTTATTCCTGAAAAAAAGTCAAAGCCACGTTTCTTTCTTTACATCTTTTGTCCCTATAAAAGAATTTTTATTTCGCTTAAAAAGTTCTTTCTTCCTTTGGGAATTTTTTATTTCGATAATTTAGTTAAATAGTAATAATAATAATAATTGTTATATTATTATAATATATTATTATTACTATTTTTTTTTTTTTTTAACGACCCAGATATTTGATAAAGATTCCTTTTTGACGCATATCATATCACATCAAACAAACCTATTCTTTTTTTTTTTTTTTTTTTAATCAGCAAGATGCATACGTCTCCTCTTTACAACTCTAATGACCAAACTACTTTCGCTAACGCTTACAAAAATACTTATCCTGCAACCACATATAATTCTTCATATCATACCGCTTATGACTCTACTTATCAACCACCTTATAATCCTAACAATTACTCCGCTAACCATCATGCAACCAATGGTCACGTAGGTCATGTTTACACTACTGAAAGTTATCCTCCAGCTTTCTTGCCTGCAAGCAGTAACTCTTCTACTGATTCGAGTCCTATTGAAAGTCCAACTTTACTTCCACGTCGTATGCCTTCTTCTGCTGGCGTAAATGATCAATTCATGTTGGATCAAAACAGGGATCTTATTTTTACTGTCCCTCCTTTACAAAATTCTACTATAAAAGTTAATCGTAGATCTTCAAGAGCTTCTCTTCGTGGTAATAGGAACTCGTTCTTATTGGATCCTATTGTTGAAGAAGAAATTCCTTCCATGTCTTTTGCCACTGCTTCTACACAATAATTTTAAACGTGATCTATTTGTAAATTTTACGTGTTTTATTTTTCTAAAAATATACACGTTATCTTTTCGCTTATGATGATGGTGTTCTTTTATTGTTAATCTCTAATATCTTTTTTTTTTTTTTTTTAATACCTTACCCTTTTGTAAATTTTTTTTTTTTAATATCCAATTTGTAAATATATCTATCTCTTTTTCGGGTTTCCACCATTATCTCACTTCTTATCTCACTTTCTTATTTCACTTATCTCATTTTCATTTTATTTCACTCATTATTACTTTTTTTTTCTTTTATCCACTATCATATCATCTTTTTTGTTTATATGTTTGAGAATATCTTAATTAAACATCAAAACGAAAAAATATCTGGGATCTTATTATTCACGTTCATTTTAATTTTCGTAATCTACTATATCACGGTCTTTTCTTCCTATATATTTTATATGTATCGCTTCGTTATCGAATATTTTTTTTATTTTTGCCTTTTAACTGAGTGCATAAAAAAATATGTAAATAGTATGGGGCAGTTATTCAATATTTGAAAAAACATGTTCATTCATAATGCAATAATGGTAAAAAAAAAAAAAAAAAAAACATGTAAATATATCAAAAAAAAAGAAAAAAAGGTAGTTAATAGCATATTTTATTCATTTACTTATTTTTTTTTTTTTTTTTTAATAATGTAATTTCAATTTAATAGCTCAAATTTGATTACTTGACATTTGTTTCATTGGCAATGGCGTGACAGTTATCAAATTTATAAATTATAATAAAAAAATAAAAAAAAATTTATATCATTAAATCATTTGCAGTATTGATAAAATGTTATACATACAGTATCAGATATCAGATATTAAATATTTTAACAGTCACAGTACGTACGCACTACGAAAATTAATAATCAACGTAATATTTCATAGTTTATTTTTTTAGACAAATACTTCGAGAAAAAAAAAAAAAAAAAAAAAAAAAAAAAAAAAAAAAGAAAAAAAAAAGAGCACCATAATTTAAAAATATATACTGTTTTTTTTTGAACCAATAATAGCGCTCGAATTCAAGTAATCAAGTAATCAAGTAAGTGATTTTTCCAATTGTAAGTTGTAAGTTTTAAAGTTTAATTTACTACCAATTCATGCGAGATTGCTTGCTTTGCGTTCTTGCAATACTACTAATAAGTTTATCCATTCCATCTCCTTGAGTTTCAAGGTAATCGGTGTCAAAGCTACTATAATCAATAGAATCTTTTTGCGTGTCAATGAAATTTGATGAATTCGACGAACTAGATGAACTAGATGAACTAGATGAGCTAGATGAGCTTGCTAAACTTGCTAAACTCGATGCTCGTGATGATTTTTTGTCTTGTTTATAAATTTCATTAAATGCTCTTTCTCTTTTTTTGCCACTATTCTTCGTGGCTATTTCGCATAAAATTTCATGATTAACCCATGGGAAGGATATCATTTGATCTGTTGGATCATCTCCAATTTCTTCTTTATGGTAAGTAACGTAATACCATGCTGAAGCTTTAGCTTCCAAAAGACCCCGAGAATCTGGTGATACATTCATTGATCCTTCTGGTCCTTCAACATAAAATTCTTTTTCAAATCTTTTTTTATAAAGTCGTCTAATAACTGCAATCATATCTGATACTGATTTTTGTACATCACGTGGCTTCTTCTTTTCCACTTTAAGTACTGTGTTGACAATAAATCCACTAGCCACTTCATATTCTGATAATACTCCGTATTGGTTCATTAAACCACGTACTTCTGAATCATAATCTCTTTTACAAGCACGTGCATCTTCCACAAATGCTTCATATCCTGGAACTAACAACCGATCATCGAAAACAATTTCTGTATAAGGACTAAAATCTGCAACTTCTATAGATCGGTAAAGTCTTCCGAGAACTTTTTGAGATGGATACGATGGTTTATCTGGTTTTTCCATAAAATCTGGAAAACTTTTCACCTTAAGTTCATTAGGAAATTCTGATGTTTTCCCAGTTTTTGGAAAGTCTACTGCTTCGGAATGAAGTTGTGCTAACCGAATACATTGACCATGAAATGCTCCATTTTCTGCTGCATCAGCTTTTGCTAAATGTGCATTAGCAATAGATCCTAATTGATCTCTACAAATATAATTCACAAAAAATTTTTTAATGTGATCAATTGTAACATAATCAACTACTTCCGGTTTTGGTGCTTCATAATTCATCGCTTCAACATTTTTTATTTCAGGAATAAGTCTTTGATCATAAATGATACTGTAAAAAAACGTGACGTAAGTATTATTAGTAATTTAATAATAAATTTTTAATAAAAATTTACTTACGTGAAATCATCACCATCGAGATCACCTCCGCTACATTGACTAGGAATATCACGAAAACCTTGTGCCGGAAATACCACTACATCAACAAGATGATCTAACTTTGGGCATTCCACAGCGGTAACAATTCGAATATCCCCAGGATGAAAACAAGGATTACGATATACAGCACATGTTCCCTTAATTACTTGTCTAGCATTTGGATTCTGTGGATCAGATTTACAACAATATATTTGATTATCTTTTAAAGTATCTGTTTCATCTAATACTCCTAAAAGAAATGCTCCTTCATCAATACGAATTTTTGCTTTTTTTTTCAAATCTCTTAACATCATAATTCTAAATAGTGCAAGTAAATTAAGAAGGAATGGATCTTTTCTTTGTAAAAAATCGGCTTTCACTAAATCTGACATTATACGTGTCATTCCATGTTCATCGGCGTTTTTAAGCAATACACTCATCGCCATGTGTTCGCTTTTAAGCATTTTATCTAATTCTTGCACTTGTTGATTTTTTAATTCAATAAAAATTTCATCAGGAACGCCTAGTGTAGATAATAAAGTTATGGCTTGTCGGTTGAGGAAGGCAGTAATCATACATGACCCTCTAATAACTTCGAGGACATGATGTGCCGAATCGAATTTACATTGGCTCGGTCTAACTTGAATTTGATTACCACGTAAATATCGAGATAAACAAAGTACACCCTTGCAGCCTGCAAGACGAAATTGAAAGGCACAAGGTGTATTTTTCAATTCTAAACTTTGTGCTATAGTTCTAGCTAAAGATGATGAAATTTTTCCAACTCCATCTGAGAAATTGTATTTACCCCTAATTATATCTGGTATCTCTTTTATATCATCAACTTGTAAATGTGCTATTGCACGGGTACTGGAAAAACATTGACCCATACGAGCCGCATATTTTGCGACAACATGGTTTTCGGAAAAATCCCCCATCCATGCTCGAATATCGTCTGCTGTTAAATCGAATGTTGGGGCGAAAAACCAGCAAGAATGATCTCTCAATTGACTTGAAGAGAATGCCAGAAACTCATAATGGCGATCCCCAATTTTAATTCCACTAACTAATGTTTGATATATTTTATTATATAGTGCATCATTACCAGAGTTGGCTCCAACCTTTCCTGATGCCTCATCGGTAAATTGAACACGTAGGAAATTATCTTTGTAATCCCGAAAATGTCTAATTACACGGTTAGAGGTTTCCATTGAAGGTGGTAAAATATACATGGTAGTTGGTGTAACAACCACCTTTCGCATCATTACACAGTAAGGAGGAACGTATTTAGCTTTAACATCAACGTTGAAAAGCTTTAAAATCTCATTGTTGATAAATGCCAATGGATCAAAGATACGTTTCTTACGAGCTGCTATGGTTTCCAAAATTCTAACCGCAATTCCTGTTGATTGTCGTGATAAAATTTTATAGAAATCTTCCGAAAGATTATAATCGTTTAGATAACTATGAGTTATATTACTTTCTACCATATAAGCTACATCAAAATGTAATTTAGATCTATCTAAATATTTTTGTAATGAATCAGAGTTGATGACTTGAATTGGATAATCTCTAAATTCACCAAGTTTAGATGCAAGATTATATTCTCTAGCCTTTGTCAGCATATCTTTGATTTCTTTTAGACCATTTTTCATAGAAATAAAGTCGAATGTAATTCTAAAAACAACCCATTTGCCAATTTGATCACTTTGATTTGGCATATTTAATTGGAGAGGTAACGACCTCTCTTCTTCACTTCTTGGTTTAACACGTATCTCGGTTTTTCTTTTCCAGCAATCATTGTAACACCAGTTAAACTTATCAGTAGCTTTTTGTGCACCATTGTGAAACCAATATCTAGCTGGAAATTTGCTCGAAACTGTAAGAATAGCTCGAGATTTATCGCATTCAGCAATAATTTCACCATCCACATCTTTAAATTGAATTTCTAACTTAAAAAGATGATTATATTGAACTCCAAATATAATTTTGATGATACGCCGTTTGTAATCAAGCGTAAATTTAACTTTATCAATAAATCTTGCTTCCGAAATAAAAGTACCAGGTTGCAAAAATGCACCCATTTCAATGCTTTCTGCATTAAAAGTATGTTCCTTAAGTTTACGTTTACCATCAGCGGAATCTATAAAATGTAAATTAAGGGACTTTGAAGGCAAATATTCCAATTGTAGAACTCGTCCATGAAAAGTAACATCTTTATTCCAGAATGGCTGTGAGGGAGGTGGTCTAAAATGCTCAATTAATTAATCCATATGTTTCTAAAAAATTTTTTTTTTAAAAAAAAATATATATATTATTAACACAAACCTAAAGCGAACCAGTGCTGATCCCTTTGAAGTTTCAGTCCCACGATCGTCAAACGTTTCGATAGTAACTTTATATACGTTGCCAAACAATTTAAAATGATCTTTTAATTCGAATGCTTTAGTATGCCCTTGCAGGTTTGTAACTCTGAAAGTGATTTCAGGTTGGTTTCGATAATTGTATGGAAGTTGAACTCTTCTATTACCATTCCAGTTACCATTCCAGTTACCACCACCATTACTATTAGGGCGGGTATATTTAAAATAGCCATTATTGGACGGACGGTCAACAACAGTCTGCATTGGTTCTTTTTCTATATTAACCAATAAAATCAAAGGTAAGTTTACTTTGTAAAAATAATATTTAGACATCGAGTAAATTCTTAAGGTTTAAGTAATGCTCACTTTTTTTAGTGTTGACACAATTATCCTCAAAATAGTTGCGAGGGCTTGTGGGGTTTTTATGTATTCATATACCGTTTATATATCATAAAATCAGCCCATATTAGTTTGTCAAGTGATCGTCAATCATTTACTTTTAAGGAAACTCCGGTTATTTCTAAACTAGCAAACAATGACATGGCTGCCCACAATTTGCAACGCAGATTCTATATATGAAGTATATTGACACGTGTTATATAATTAAAAAATGCAAGTTTCCTGAAATCGCAATCGTAAGAATATGCACAATTAAAATACATTATCACAAATGGAATGATTTAAAATCTATGAAAAATTACATAACGATAAATATAATTATAAATAATTCCTACGAAAGCTAAAATAAATGTCATTTGACCAATATAATAATCAACGACTAAATATTTAACCACATTTTTATAGTCTCATTCATCTGTCGAAGCTTTACTCCTAAGAGTTCCCTTCGATTTTCTATCACGATGATAAAATTCTTGCAAAACTTTTTGTGGTATACGATTTAACATTTCTTTTGGGAAAATACGAAGAATCGACCATGCTTGATCTAATGATTCATAAATTGTTCGACTTTCATATGCACCTTAAAAAATTATAAAAGTATTAGAATAAAGTAATAGTAATAGTAATAGGACAAAGTAAAAAGCTATATTACCTTGAGAGATATATGTTTTTTCAAACTTATCCAAAAATTCCAAAGAGAGTTTATCTTCTTGATTAAGAGCTTCCTCTCCTACTACTGCTTTCATGGCAGCTGCATCTCTACCAATGGCGTATTTAGCATACTGTTAAACCAAATTCAAATTTTGACTTAGAAAATTAATTACAATGAAATACAGGAAATAACATAGATTGTTTTTAAATGCTTACAAGCTGGTTGGAAACATCACCATGATCCTTTCTTGTCATACCTTCACCAATTGCAGATTTCATCAATCGAGAAAGAGATGGCAAAACATTAATTGGCGGATAAATTTGACGATTATATAATTGACGATCAACAAAGATTTGGCCTTCTGTAATATATCCTGTCAGATCAGGAATAGGATGGGTAATATCTTACAAGAAAAAGTATAAATGAAAAATGTTGTTAACTAACTTTAAACCATCCTGAATAGAAATAATAATAATAATAATAATAATAATAATAATAATAATAATAATGATAATAATGATGATAATAATGATAATAATAACGATAATAATAATGACAATAATAATGATAATAATAACGATAATAATAATGATATTAATAATAGATAATCATACCATCGTTTGGCATTGTCAAAATCGGGATTTGCGTGATACTACCGTTTCTTCCTTCGACACGACCTGCACGTTCATATATAGTAGATAAATCAGTATACATATATCCAGGATATCCACGACGACCAGGTACCTCTTCACGTGCGGCAGAAACCTAAAAAAATTTCTCACTTTAAATAAGGAATCACCAAAAAAGTAAATCTTAATGTATTTTTACCTCACGTAAAGCATCAGCGTATGAACTCATATCAGTTAAAATGACTAAAACATGCTTCTCGAGTTGATATGCATAATATTCAGCAGTAGTAAGGGCCAATCGTGGTGTAACAATACGTTCGATGCTAAAAAATATAGTGTATATTAATCACAAAAAAATTCTATCAAATCTATCAAATCTTTTTTTTTTTGAAGTATGAAACTTACGTCGGATCATTAGCCAAATTTAAAAATAATGTGACTCGTTCTATAGAGCCATTCTCTTCAAAATCCTGTTTAAAGAAACGAGCCGTTTCCATATTCACACCCATAGCAGCAAATACAATAGAGAAATTATCCTCATGATCATCAAACACACCCTTGTCAACTTTTTTAACGAGACCAGCTTGGCGGCATATTTGAGCGGCAATCTAATAAAAATAATAAAACATATAAGACGAGTTCTTTTAAAGTAAAAGCTTCAAAATATTTATAAGACAACATTTACTTCATTATGTGGTAATCCAGCTGCAGAGAAAATTGGAATCTTTTGACCACGCGCTATAGAATTCATTGTATCTATAGCTGATATACCAGTTTGAATCATTTCTTCCGGGTAGATACGTGAATATGGATTTATTGGAGACCCTGAAAAAATACTTATCTTAAAATTTGAAATTTGGAATCGCACATCATTATATGACACTAACCATTAATATCCAAAAAATCCTCAGCAAATACTTTTGGACCTTTATCAATAGCTTTCCCGGAACCATTAAAAATACGGCCCAACATGTCTTCCGATACAGGAATCTTTAGAGTATCGCCAGTAAATTCAACATGAGTTGCTTTGGAGTCAATACCTGATGTCCCTTCAAACACCTTAAAAGAGCAAATTATAAATTAAGAGAATTATTTTAAAGAAAAGTATATTTATTTTAATCAATTATCAATAATACCTGAACAATCGCTCTCTTGCCTTGAATTTCTAAAACCTGACCAGAACGACGACTTCCATCTGGTAATGTTAAATTTACAATCTCTGCATATTTAGGAAACTTTAATAATAGTAATTATTGACAAATAAAGCATTTAAATTGTTAATTTGAGCGTGTTAATACACAAAATTCCTTGGGATATAATGAGATACTACCTTAACGTTGTCTAAAACAACAAGAGGTCCATTTACGCTAGCTATAGTTCGATAATCTATGATCGTATGTCAATTGTTTGTGGCAAGCAGAGTCAGTACTTTAAAGTGGTGATATGCAAATAAAATAAAGAAATGAATGTCAAAATGCTGAGGGCAAGGCAAAGTGTTTTTATGATACTGTAGATTAATGCCCCAAGATCAAGGTACTCTATAGGAAAAGTAAAATATTTATATATATACCAATGCGGGGTTTGACGGTATAGTTTCTCGTAGCAGCTGCAGCATTAATTTTAAAAGCTTCCATTACCTCGGCCATTCGGGGAATGCGATAAATGAGTAGCGTCTAGTAGACTCCTATATCTGTATATTACGTAAATTACGTATATAAGATCAGATCAGATGATAATCTAACAGATGACTCTGACTAATCAGTGAACACAAAGCTAACCCCCTTTCCTTTCGTCAAATTTCTTGTCTCAGGCGTTGAAAGTGACATTAACACAAATAGTATATATAATTTTACAAGCTGGCTTCTGGTTTAAGTGCACAAGGGTTATACAAGACACTCTCGATATAAGAAATTCTCGGTATAAGAAAGACTAATTAAAATTCGATATAAGTTTAAAGCTAAAATCAGTCTATAATAAATTCACTCGATATAAGAAAGTTACTACGGTAATAAACTCTATATAAAAAATTTTTGTAAAATTCTTACTATTGGTTCCACCACCACCTTTCTTATATCGAGATTTACTTGTATATATTTTACTTTCTAAGTGTAGGTTTTTGTTACACATTTCCTTTCATTCAGTGTTTGCAATTTTTTGGCCTTGGTCAAAAATTTCCAACATATAATATTAACCAATCATATTACTATCTCTGTTATACAAAATATTTGGCAATTGGCCAAATAATTTTCTTGCCAGTGGTCAAGTGACAATATTGCTTTCATGCTGCATTTAAAATTGACTGTATTACTAGGCAGTGTAGTTGATAAGCTAGTTGATACATGTAAATTCTAATATAAAGGACGTACATACGTATGTATCCGAGTAATATCTTTAGCGATTTATATTACTATCGATGATCGTAGTCGATTCTTGCCTGATCAGCCAATAATTAAAAATCGACTAGATCGAATAAGACTTAGCGTTAGTCGATTGTCCTAATTTCTTATTTGCACCACAATACGTAGTAGATAGTTTTGTCTATTTTTTTATATACGATAATTGTCATATATAGATTAGTATTTCTGGTAAGGATTTAGCAAATAGAGATCCAAAATTTCAACATATACAGTATACACTCCCTAAAGAAGGTATTCGCCCTACCTTAAATTATTTAAGTTGAAAATAAAATAATTGTCGCAGCTGATGCTGAAAACGGCTGATGCTGAAATTTTTTCATATTTTATTATAAAATTATAAAAAAT